ACCGAAAAATCAAAAAATTAAAAAATCGGAAATCGAAAAATGAAAAAAAAAACGAAAATTCAAAAATCGAATAATCCGAAACTAAAATCAAAATTGATGACCTCATCTCAAAATTTTGCCTAATTAATCCTATGTAAAATAACATTTAATAATAAGATAATCTGTTTTACTGTTCAAATCAAGAACGGCTCGCCCCATTTTCCTGAAAATTTTATAACTTTGGTAATTTTTTTTGATGGATAAAACCTGAACGCGCTCGCTGTGCTCGCATTAAAATTTTTTTTTTTAAGTTTAGTGTCAGACGATAAATACATTTTTTTGTTAATGATTTAGCTTCTCAGGGACAGAAGTAATTTACAAAAAAAAGTCGTCTTTGCACATTCTTTTATTGATTGCATTCATTCCAGAAGAACTGATTTATTTTCTCCGAATTTTGTATTTTTTCAGATTTTTTTGTTCTTTTTTTGGATTTATAGAACTGGATTTCTTGAGTTTCTTGGGTTTTTACTTTTCTTCGGTTTTTTTATGTTTTTGGGGTTGTTGGGATTTTTTAGTTTTTTGTTTGTTTTTTTTTATCAAGTGGAAAAGTAAAAATTGCAAAGTCTAAAACTAACGAACAGAAAAATCGAAATGCTCAAAAATCGAAAATTCGATTAATCAATATTCTAAAAATCGAAAAAACGGACACAAATCCACAAATTGAAAAATCCCAAATCGAAAAATGAAAAAACCAAAAATTCAAAAATCAAACTATCGGAAAGTAAAATAATCGAAAAATGAAAAAATAAAACAAATCGCAGAACCATAAAAACTGAAACAAACAGAAAAATCGAAAAACCACAAAATCGGAAAAACAAAAATCGAAAAATCGCCAATCGAAAAATCGTAAAATCAGAAAATGGAAAATCGAATACTCGAAAATTGAAAAATCGAAAATTGAAAAATCAAAAAACCGAAAAATGGAAAATTCAAAAATCGAAAAATAGGAAAACAGAAAATTCGAAAATTCATAATATTGAAAACTCAAAAGTCGACAATTCAAAAATCGAAAACTCGTAAAATCATAAAGTGGAAAATCGAAAACTGGAAATTGAAAAATCGGAGGTTGGAAAATCGAAAATCGAAATATCGAGAATCGACAAATTAAAAAACCGAAAAATCAAAAAATTAAAAAATCGGAAATCGAAAAATGAAAAAAAAAACGAAAATTCAAAAATCGAATAATCCGAAACTAAAATCAAAATTGATGACCTCATCTCAAAATTTTGCCTAATTAATCCTATGTAAAATAACATTTAATAATAAGATAATCTGTTTTACTGTTCAAATCAAGAACGGCTCGCCCCATTTTCCTGAAAATTTTATAACTTTGGTAATTTTTTTTGATGGATAAAACCTGAACGCGCTCGCTGTGCTCGCATTAAAATTTTTTTTTTTAAGTTTAGTGTCAGACGATAAATACATTTTTTTGTTAATGATTTAGCTTCTCAGGGACAGAAGTAATTTACAAAAAAAAGTCGTCTTTGCACATTCTTTTATTGATTGCATTCATTCCAGAAGAACTGATTTATTTTCTCCGAATTTTGTATTTTTTCAAATTTTTTTGTCCTTTTTTTTGGATTTATAGAACTGGATTTCTTGAGTTTCTTGGGTTTTTACTTTTCTTCGGTTTTTTTATGTTTTTGGGGTTGTTGGGATTTTTTAGTTTTTTGTTTGTTTTTTTTTATCAAGTGGAAAAGTAAAAATTGCAAAGTCTAAAACTGACGATCAGAAAAACCGAAAAATATCTAAAAATGGAAAAATCGAAATGCTCAAAAATCGAAAATTCGATTAATCGATATTCTAAAAATCGAAAAAACGGACACATCCACAAATTGAAAAATCCCAAATCGAAAAATGAAAAAACCAAAAACTCAAAAATCAAACTATCGGAAAGTAAAATAATCGAAAAATTAAAAAATAAAACAAATCGCAGAACCATAAAAACTGAAACAAACAGAAAAATCGAAAAATCGTAAAATCAGAAAATGGAAAATCGAATACTCGAAAATTGAAAAATCGAAGGTCGAAAAAAAAAACCGAAAAATCGAAAAATTTAATGATCAATGGAAAATCGAAAAATCGAGAATAGAAGAATTAAAAACGTAAAATCGAAAATTCAAATATCAAAAAAATCGGAAAGTAAAATGTAATCGAAAAATGCAAAAAAATTGCAGCAAAGTCTAAAAACTGCCCAACAGAAAAATCAACAAATCGAAAAACGGAAAAGCCGAAAACTCTAAAATTCAAAATACCGCAAATTTGAAAAATCAGAAAATGGGAAAGTAAAAAAATCGAAAAGTTGATAGAAAAATGGCAACTGAAAAATCTAATTACATGAAACGGTTGGTCGAAAAAACGAAAAATCGAAAATCGAAGTGATCTTTTTTTGAGACAGCCTGTATAAGTAAATCTAAAAAATATTACTGCAATGATAAATCACAGGTATAGAAATGTAGTACACTTCAAAAATGTCCGTGACTTAATTTAATGTGAATTTTATAACTATGGTTGGCACAATTAGACCTAATATTAGTGTGATTTTGAGCATATTCTCAATTTTATTAGAGCAGAATAGGTTATTTTTCTAATTTTATAAGTTACGGAAACTAATGGCACATCACAGATATTGCAAAAAAAATTGGGCTCAGGTTCCAACTAATTGACAAGATTTCAAAGTATTCAGTTTTGCAATTCTTGATTTCTTCAATAAAATAAATTTACTCAGTCATTATTTTTTTTGAGTCACCCTGTATGTATAAACAAATCCAAAAAATATAAATGGAATGGTAAATCACAAGTATAGACTCATCATATTCTGAACATTTTAGATAGGGTATTTATAAAATTAAAACTAATTCAGAGTAAGAATTTGGTCAACACGTAAATTTCGTTGTAGTTTGAGCCTACCTACAAATTCTGCCCTTGGACGATTTGTACCGCCTCCTTCGGTGACGACCGGCAAAAACGATCCGCCCATAGGGCTCAAAACATTTGCGTGCGATTGTACACAGACGCCGATACCACATTTTCTTCGAAAGCCACTCGACTTGCGATAACGCCGCCGTCCCGAATCCAGCGTTAGCTTAATTACTCGGAAGCCCTTCGAGCAGCCCAACTCGGCCTAGTCGTTCCGAGTCGCGGAAATGTAAATGGCGCCTAATGACACAGCGTCGTTGTTTTCTCTGTAATTTCGAGATGCCGAGCGTGCGTTCACCCATCCGACGACGGCGTCATCTCTTGAGTTGAAGGTGACGGTGCTGGCTGCCGTTGCTCCTGCTGCCACCGCCGTGCGATACTCATTTGTTTGGTGCGCCGTTGACCTTGAGAACGTACGCGAACCCAACAAAGAACTCGTGAGGAGTTCAAGCCGGAAACGACGGAGCGAGGGGCCGACCCGGAGGCTCCGGACGGACGATCGATGAGAGGACTGTCGCGTTCGCCGAGATACGGCTAATTGAAAGCCGCCCGAAAAGAAAAAATCGAATGCTCGTCGAGGTATATAGGTTGTGAATCATGAGATACGTTTTCAATTTTATCTGGAGTGTCTCCCCTTCCAAGTGCGGAAGTAGTAAATCCGCCATGGCTTTGTTTAGAAATACAGATATGCTTATCTGAACAACTTGGCCGTATAGAGGATCTCGTAAAGCACTTGATTTAAGTACGGGTACAATTGTGGGCGCGTAGGTGTTTGTTTTTGTTCGATTGATAGTAAATAGAGGTTGAATTTGGTCTTCAAATGTCTGTGTTTTGAAACGGTGTCAAAATGTGGTTTCGCGGTGTGTCGAGATTTTCGCCAGCGACCCGATTAAAAATTGACCTTCGCCATACATCGCAAGAAACCGTTTTCAAGTCGGCGAAAGTAAGTTGAACGGACATTAATTATGGAAGGAACAATTTCCTATTATGTTGAAGTACAAACGGTGTCGGTAACGCCGCTTGTTATAATGCAATATTGAAATAATTTCCATTCTTTGAGCTGAATCTCGCCCAGGGATCTCGCCTATCTCGCTACGAGATCGCACCGCTGGAACAATGAAAGCTTTGTTCGCGATATATCCTAGAGGAAAATTCATGCAACGTTCGCGGCCTTGGTGTCGATTTTGTGCAGGTCGCAGACTTTACAATAAATTTCTCGGTCCATTGTTGCGGCGAACACGGGAAGACGGCGCACGTGCCCTGGAACAGTAGACGGTACACGTGCTCGTTAGTTTTTCCAGCAAAGTGGAAAATTTGCAGATTTTATTTATCTTTGAGGAAACGTTGGCAGTGAATATTAAACTGATTTATTTGCGTTGAAAATTTGCGTGCTTGATTCTGTATACACCGACCACTAAATTTAGACGCCTGCACGTTCATTAGGATGGAAGCTTCGTGGAAAATCGTTTTGTCTTTGGATTAGCTCTCTCGGTTTTCGGCTTGTTGCCATTGGAAACCGATTAAAGTGGGCAATCAATCCGATTCGTATGCCGCGTCCGAGAATAGCTACACCCATAAAACTTCTGACGAAGATGAGCTTTTTTCGCGTGGAGTTTGTTGCTCTGTCCATATCGGCGACGCTGGAAGCCATCAAGTTCAAGGTCGTTTTGGAATATATTCGGAGAACGCTCTTGGTGTGCTCGTTTAGTAACGTCGACAGTAAATTTGGAAGCATGTGCGTCTGATGTTTTCAACGCGACGGCTTTTTTTAGATCATGTGAAAAGGGAACATAAACAATTTTGTATATGTTACAAGATTTTTTTCCCTCGGCGTGGAAGAAGGAATCCGCGTCCGACAACTCCGTCGTTGCACAAAAATCCGTCCACCGCCAGGGTCGATAGGTCATTCTTCCTTCGCCCCCTTTGTTGGCGGTGTTTATTTACGTTTGAAAGTTTTGGACGCCACCCAAAATATTCATCATTAATTCCGTTTCGAAGCTGGTAAACGGCCACTTCGCCGCGAATTACTCATTGTATCGGTTTCGTTTTTTGCAGAGTTAATCCCGGCTACATATTAGTGCATACATAATTTCAATTTTTGACAAGATCGATTGGCGTTAATTAGCGTGGGCGGCGCCGCCGCCGGATTAACGCCGAGATGGGAACGCTCCTTCATTATCCCTGATGCTGGTGGGTGTGCCAGCCTGGACTTCGAGGAGTCGGCCTTTCACTTTCCCATCGAAAAATTGGTGTGTATGCGATGCTGCAACCGCTCCCGTTCGCGCACTGCAACAATGCCCCAGAGCGTTGACCCCGGTGCATCCGCAGATCCTTGTTTGGTTTGCGCAAACTAGACCAAACCGCGCCAAATCGGCTTCTGCTTTCGTCGTTCTTCAGGTATGATCGCGTGCGTGTCAGACGTGGAGCCAGGGGGACCACCGCTTGCGTAACGCTTCTTTCGCGACTGCGACGCATCATCTGCTCTCGATCGCCCATTAAATTCGGATCTATTCAAACCCGGAGTTTGTTGACCCTTCTGCTCGTGTTTTTACCATACAGTTCAATTATCACTTGCTTTGATGCGGTAAGTGTACATTGAGAATCTTTTTTCCTCGGTCTGCGCGCGTTACAAAGTCGTCAGCGGGATCAATGACGTATTACCAACGCGTATGTTGCCGACTCGGTTGGGTCCGTTTGTTTTCCCCCAGCTGCACTTTGTTAAATGTGTAGAATAATAAACTCCGAGGAGGTTTTCTCTGTTTGTTAGTGTTGTACATATTTGAAACGGTTGCATGTGCGCGCCCCGGAATTATAAAGTACACATTAATGTCTTGTAATGTAAACAGTTTCGAGTTATGGTTATTTTTCGATGCGGCTACCTCTCCAGAGCGGTTTCCTTTCAACAGAACGAGAAGTTGGTCTTGGTCGAAATTTACAACGCGACGTTGCTGTTACTTCACGTTTATGACTGTTTTAGAGTTCACTCTTTGTATCTACTCTGTATGATTGTACTAATGTTCATTATGCGTCTGTTTTCTTTCTTACAAACCACATGTGCATTTTAATTCTCAAAGTCCTTGGTCGCCCTTTACAGACTTAATTATGCCCGCATCTGACAATAGAAGGGGGTAGACCTTTTTTATATGTATATGGTATAACGTTTTTTTAACGCGGCGATTTATAGAACTGCTATTGAATAAAGTTTTTATGCTTTAGTCATTGCGTTACTTTGTGCTACTAAAAATCCGTGACGAAGCAAAATTCGCACTATAACATAAATACAATTCGGAGCGCGTGCTCACATTTTTATATTTTAAAATAACCACTTCGTAACATAAACAGTTTAAAAGTTTCAGGATTAATATGCAACAGCACTCTCCTTTTCTGTTTATTTTGAATATTTCGCCCGCACATAATTGCGACTACGATTCTGTTAGGGTTAGAGAGATAGTTCCACTGAAACGTCAAAAACGTGTCGTAATAGTAATACGTTAATCGGTTTAATTGCAAAACATAAAAATAAAACAGTTACAAAGTTCTCCTGTATTTGTGGTTTATGAATCCGCCTTGAGTGTTTACCACAGGCAAACAGATTTTATAAAATAACATGATTCTCGTAATGCTGGTCTTGAATGCGTAATATATATTAATCATAAAGTTTTTTTTCTTTTCAAAAAATTATACAAATTATCAGACAAGCAGAAACAATGATTTCTTCGAATATCGCGTTTGTGTTAATGCAATGGGTTCTCGATAACACAAAAGCCATTAAATTTCGTTTATGGTTGTTGTAACATGTTATTTAAAATTGCTTGTACAGAATGACTCAGAAGGATTAATAAATGAGGCAGCTTAAACTTATGGAGGTTAATGGGTTATCACAAAAACATTAGATAAGTTGTGCTGTACTTCATGGACACGAGGGAAGTTCTGTGGAAATAACCTTCGACCAATTTTGGGTAATTAAAAATTGTGATATTTCAGTGCACTGTATTAATTCATTTAAAATTACTAATTCTGGAAAAAAGGTTGAAGTTATCAAGAAATGAGGCCGGATTTGAGTTTTAGACCTCGAAATCTACAAGAAAAAGTATTTCGTTAAAGTTCGAAAATCGTCGAAAATGAATCGAAATTTGCTAATAATTGCCAAATAACCTACCAATGACTTACTCATCTAAGAAAATGTACTAGGCCCGCCCACCCACCCTTTCTTTTCTTAGAAGAGTGGGTCATCTGCCAAAATCTTATTTTAACAAGTACCACCCCCGCCCCCACCCACCCTTATTTTCTTAGAGGGTAGGTTCTATGGCAAGTGTTAGCCCCACCCACCCGCCCTTTGTTTCCTTAGAGCGTAGATCATTGCCAAAATCAGTCTTATCTTAGCGAGTACAACTAGATTTTTCAGTTTTCGAACTTTTCAATTTCTCGCTTTTTAAATTTTCAATATTTTGATGTCTTTCGATTTTCGATTTCTCTGGTCAACTGAAAAAAACTTTCGATTTTTTAATTTTCACAGTTGTGACGCAGTTTTCCGATTTCTCAATTATTTAATTTTTAAAAAAATCGAGGAAATAGATGTATTTTTTTTTTAATTTTCGATTTTTGATTTTTTTATCACCGAGCTTTTGGAACGGAGTAAAAATAATTATTTTGATCAGCGATTTGCCATGTTTACCGTAACTTTAAAACATCTGAAAATTTTGTTTCTGATTTTCTATTTTTGGATTTTTCGATTTTTCAAAATTTCGGTTCGAATAAATTTGTTCTTTTAGTAAAAAATCGAACAATGACAAATCGTAAAAAGGAAAAATTTTAACATGAGAACTTGAAAAATTAAAAATCAAAAAATTCCAAAATTGTAAAGTTAAAACTTGAAAAATCAAATGACTGGAATTAAAAACTACAAAATTGTCAAAAAAATTATCAAGTGAAATATTTAAAAGTTGAAAAATCTAAAAGCTAAAAAAAAATGAAAACGGGAATTTCGAATTCGATTTTATAAGATTTGTTTTTTTTTTTCAATTTTTTTCATATTTTCTCATTTATCTGATTTTTTCAATTTGTCATTTTTTGATTTTTATTTTTTTTATTTTTAGCAATTACTAGCTCCACCCACTAGCCTCGTAGCGAGTACCCCTAGATTTTTCAGTTTTACGATTTTTCATCTTTCGAACTTTTCAATTTTTCGCTTTTTAAATTTTCAATTTTTTGATCTGTCTTCCGCTTTTTGATTTCTCTGGGCAACTGAAAAAAACTTTCAATTTTTTAGTTTTACATTTCTGGCAGGTTTCCGATTTCTCAGTTATTTGATTTAAAAAAAAATCGAGGAAATAGATGTACCTATATATTTTTTTTAATTTTCGATTTTTGATTTTTTATCACCGAGCTTTTGGAAGGGAGTAAAAAATAATTGTTTTGATCAGCGATTTGCCATGTTTACCGTAACTTTAAAACATCTGAAAATTTTGTTTCTAATTTTGTATTTTTGGATTTTTCAATTTTTCAAAATTTCGGTTCGAATAAATTTGTTCTTACTACTAAAGTAAAATATCGAAAAATGACAAATCGTGAAAAGAAAAAAATTAGAAATGAAAAAAATCCAAATTTGTTAAGTTAAAACTTGAAAAATCAAATGATTGAATTAAAAACTGCAAAATTGTCAAAAAAAAAACTATCAAATGAAATATTTAAAAGTTGAAAAATCTGAAAGCTAAAAAAAATGAAAACGGGAATTTCGAATTCGGTTTTATAAGATTTGTTTTTTTTTTTGTCAATTTTTAGATATTTTAGTTTCTGATTTTCCGATTATACAGTTGTACAATTTTCCGATTTCTCATTTATCTGATTTTTCAATTTGTCATTTTTTGATTTTTATTTTTTTTTTATTTTTAGCAATTACTAGCTCCACCCACCAGCCTTTATTTTTTTTGGAAAAATAAGTCATTTGCCAAAATTAGTCTCATCTTGAAAAGTCCTAGCCCCGCCCACCCACCCTTTATTTTCTTACAAGAGTGGGTTGTCTGCCAAAATCAGTCTTACCTTGACAAGTACTAGCCCCGCCCACCCACCCTTATTTTCTTAGAGGATCTGTCATCTGCAAAAATCACTCTCATACTTGACAAGATAAGATTGATTTTGGCAGATGACCTACTCTTCTAAGAAAATAAAGGGTGGGTGGGCGGGGCTAGTACCTTTTCTTAAAAGAGTAGGTCATTTGCCAGAATGAGTCTGTCAAATGTTAAGAGGGTAGGTTATTTGGCAAGTACTACCATAGTGTAAAATTTAATTTTTGAAACGAAAGAATCGTCCTTTAAACATTCAAAAATATGAAAAATACTCCAATTTTCGACCAATTTTCAACAAAATTTTCGAAATTTCACAAAATACATTTTCTTGTAGATTTCGGGCCGCAGAAGTCATATCCGCTTTCATTTCTTCGATAACTCCAGTGGTTTTTCCAGAATCGTTATTTGAAACATTCAAAAATATGCAAAATACCGCAATTTTCGACCAATTTTCAACAAAATTTTCGAAATTTCACAAAATACATTTTCTTGTAGATTTCGGACCGCAGAAGTCATATCCGTTTTCATTTCTTCGATGACTCCATTGGTTTTTCCAGAATCCAAAAATTGAAAACCGAACAATTCCAAATCGAAAAATTGACAAAATTAAAAATTGGAAACTCGAGAAACTCATCGAAAAATTGCAAAATCTAAAAATTAAAACATAAAAGAGCATTGCAAGTCAGAAAATTGAAAACATTGGGACTGGAAAAAAATTATAAAAAAATCTGAATATTGAAAAATCGAAAAATTGAAAAAATTAAAATTGAAAAAAAAATTGCATACTGAAAAATGAAACATTGAAAATTCGGGAAACTGAAATCGAAAAATTGAAAAACTGAATAAACCAAAGATTTTCAGTTATCCGATTTTCCGGTTTCTTTAATTTTCAATATTTAGATGTTACGATCTTTACATATTCCGTTTATTCGATTTCGCACTTTTTCGATTTTTACGTTTCTTAATTTTTAATCTTTGGATTTTTTAATTTTTGGTTTCTTCATTCTACTGGGTTCTTGATTTCCAATTTCTATTAGATTTTTCAAAGTTTTCGTTTTATACTTTTTTGTTTTTTCAGTTTTACAATTTTGCAATTTTTCCATTTTTTTTTAATTCGAAAAGTAGAAAGATGGAAAAATTGAAAAATCGAAAAATCGAAAATCTGTAGTGAACGAAAAATGGAA